ACTTCTAGTAGTGGAGCCTCAGGCAACACCAGGCATTGTCACTCAGCCTGGTGACTGCGTCACATCTTGCTGTCTCCTTGTCACCAATCTAGCAGGTCACAGGCTTAATTCTAGAATGTCCATTTCAAGCTATTAACTTTGTAATCAGAATAAGTGTTGGTTTGGAATGTGATGAAGTGGTTTAGAGTAATTTCCAGGGCTGTCAAAATGCACATGCTAGCCCTGTGACTGCAAGAGACACGCAGTGGAATCTGAATGATTGGCAGGGACAAGTTGGAACCAGTTGCTGCTAGGCTATCCTGTATGAGTTGCTGAATTATCATAAAGCCATGCATATACAATAGGTGTATTTGATTTTTTACAAAATGGATTACCAGTAAGTTCACTGTAAGATTGAGTGGAAGCAAAACACATATCCTTTCTTGCAAAAGCAGTGGCCCCAGAAAGTCTCTTTGTGTTAGAAGGACAATGAGAGCCTTCAAAATTTTAGGCACTCACCTGAATTGTGCATATCTGAAGCTTTGTGTGGTGTAATTATAAAGAGAAGGCATTCTTCCCCGTAGTATATTACCTGTTTGAGAGAAAGAGAAATTACAAAGAACATGGAGTGTAAAATAATTCTTGATGTTTTAAATAGTATTGACTAGGGCCTCTAAAGAATTCCGTGGGCTGCTTGATAAAGCAGAAAGAGACAATAGAGAATTTTCTACATGCTGGCTTTGCAGAAACGTGTTCTATATTTGATTGTTTCATTGAGTGTAGCAATAGGCTATGCAAAACATTGGTGATCAATGTTTTTGTGTATCTTTTTTCCAAAGATGCTAAGTTTTTCTACAAGAACTGAGCATCAGAAGAAGCTCATATCTAGGAATTAGGTACCCTCTTCCCTTAAGGGAAAACAAGGGACCAGAAACACATTTCAGCTTGCTTAGCATCACGTGCTAAGTCAGTTACTAGATTGCATATAAAATTCCCAGACAGCACATGTCACTTCATCTCCTGGTCCTTCATACAAGCCCTGAAAAGTGTTTGTCACTTGTCAATTGTCAAGCTAAATTGTTTAGGTCCAATGTTAATGTCCTATGGAGGCCTTGTGAAATAAACCAGCCTCAGTCTATTCAGTGAAATTCAAGGAGATACCTATCTGTAGTGAAAACTATACAGTTTCTTCTTTTAACTACTTTATAAGTCATAGATGAAGATTAGTGTATGTTCTGGATTATTTCTCTTGTCCATTTGCTTTTAAATATGAAGGGTAGCACTGAACTAATCATCTGGCCAGTCCTGGGCTGGGAATTACATTAATCACCTTAAGATGGCAAATGTATGTGCTACACCAACCAAGCATTCGTGTGGCTGCCAATTTCCCAAAGCCCTTTAGCAGTTAAAATATAATTACCTGTGTGGACATGAGATGGTTGAATGAATAGGTTATGTCATCAACATAATTATAATGCTAGTACTCTGTAGGTGTTATGGAGGGCAAAAGTTAGCACATTTCTGCCTTTTTATCTGAGGGAAACTTCCTAATGCTTCCAGTGGGGAAGTCAACATGCTGCTGGGTTTGGTGCCTGTCTCTGTTGCTGAGACTGGATTTGCTTTTGAGCCTTTCTCAGGTCTCTTTAAGAAATGTTAAAAATCATAGTCTGCTTCTGAGAAGTTCTCTGCATTTTATAAACAAAGAATCCTATTTCTGATTGCTTAATTATTTGCAACATCTTGTGTGAACTCTCCCACTGCTTTTCCTGAAACCTTCCCCTTCATACACGTGGGCACACTAAATAGGCATAACAGCATTTTGAGGATCTGATTTTTTCAAAATTGTAGATACTATTTTTATAAGAAGCTTCTAGTACATCGTTAGTAAAAGAATAGGTATATTTACCTTTTGAAATAATTATTTACAATTTCTCATTTTTCTAGTAATCCCATGATTGCAATTAGGTCATCAGTTTGTTGGAAGAATTCTAAATATATGTGTTCATAGAGGGCATTCTCTCAGACAGGGAAATAACAATGCACAGCCTAGTGTACTAGAGCACTAAAAGGCTTCCGCTGTTTTTACAAGTTTGGGTTAAATATAAGGTGTTTTGTAATGCTAGTAAAAATAGCTATGCTTCACTTTCTGAAGATAATGAGGGGAGACAAAAGTGGTGCCTCCATCTTCTGAAATTTTGAGGGGAAAATTGGTTTGTCAGGAGATGGTTTGAAACGGATGCTCAGGTAATGTAGAGAATGCACATGACAGACCCCAGCATTCCTAGATCCATTATTGTTGAACACAGCTTCTCCACGAGAACATTCCATACTTTTTTGTATTGAGTATAATTAGGTCATTACAGAGATGTGTTCTGTCTTCCTCAGTGCTTGCTACAGCAGCCCAGAAGGAAGTTGACACTTCACACTACCTTGTGTTCCAATAGCTTTATATGCAAAATCTCCACTGCTTGTTGGGTTGCCCGCTGGAAGCCAGCTGTGGCCTACCATCAAAAGCTATGTACCAGGTTTCAAGGGCATGTAATAGTGGGGTGGTAAAACCAGTAGAGCCACATGTAACTGTCTGTGGTAGCCCATAGAAAGGGGCAATCATGCAAACTGAGAATAATTTTTTTCGGAAATAGACTTCTAAGATCCAGCTGCTAGGTACTCACAGACTGGGATGTATTACTGCCTATGGTTTTGCTCAAGGACAGAGCAAAGCTGGGAGCAGGAGAGCTCATGAGGAGAAGCCCAGGGAAGTTTAGAGCTGGGATGTGGGATGAAAGACTGAAATGAAGGATAAATTCTTCATCCAAAGGTAGTAGTAAACTTTCTGATATTCTCCAGCTCCTCAGGGGTTTTGCCACAATTCATGCACAGCAAGGCTGAAGTTAAATCATGCAGAGGACCCTTCTGCCTGGCAGAGAAAGACCATGGCCATGGCACACAAGGCATACTGGAAATTGGAGGGTGGGCTAAGCCTGCATCTGGGGTTTGTCATCATGTACAAGGCAGTGTGGGCTGCAAGAAGGTCAGGGGATGTGAGACCTGGGGTGGCACTGAAGGACGACAGCCTGTGTGTCCAGTCTGGCAGCTGTGGGGCTCTGCAAGTCCCCAGGGGGAGTGCACTTCCTGGGATCTGGTGATTTGAATGATTACAGTGAAGCCCAGTCAGGAATTTGTGGTTGCAGGAAAATTTTGTTTTTGATACACAGAAGAAATCCTCTTCATGTGGGATACAGCTTCTACTTACCTCCACCTGCAAGTCCATAAAGACACTTGAAACTTCCCAGCTCCTGCTCCATAAACACACACTAGACCTACACCACAGCTCTGGCTGACAGACTGCCAAAGCTTTTAAAATTTTATAAAGTTATAAACATATATGAACTATATATGTACACTGGAAACAATCCAGATTCAAGAATCATCTGAAAAGGCACACGGTAAACACAAAGTCGGTAACTTTTATATAATGTGGAAGCTACTGGTTTGCTTCAAAACTGCAGAGCTCTCACCACAGTGGATTTGGAAAGCTGGCTGGTATGGCTTAAAGCCACATTATTTTTGTGCTGGAGAAGTGATTTCCCAGGAATTTGAGGGAGAAGCAGTATTCCCTTTTAGCTAAAAGTGTCTCTATGCCTCTGACTGCCTTATGGAGCCAACTACAGTAAGTGCACCAAATATGCAGTTGTCATCCAGGGTACAACTGGATCTGAGCACAGTCAATGGATTGTCATTTTCTCCTGCCATGCTAAATCTCTTCAATTTACAATTTCTTTTTCCTTATACTTTCATGTTTTGCAGCTGCTTGTAAACCTGTGAGCTGTACCCAGTTCAAGCTGCCTTCTCCACAAAGAGCAGTCACAAAAATGTAGCTGTGGGCTTTTGTCCACATAAACACATTTCAGCCATGGGTGCCTCTGTTGTTACTGAATTACTTGTTGGCCTTTGAGCCTTCTGTCCCCATTTCAGACAAGTGGTGTTTTTATTAAAAAAAGTCTTCGCACATATTCAGGTTTTACAGCCAGGGTTTGCAGCCACTTACAACCACAGCCTTTTTCAGCCGCACCGTGGCAACAAAGAAGTAAGTAGGTAAAGAAGGAACTAGAAACTGTTTTCAAAAGAAAAACATCCTTCAAGGAAGGGAGGTCTCACTTTCCATAAAAAGAAAGAAGGCTCACTGCTGGGATTGCCCAAGGCCTGGGGTTGGGCTGCAGTCCCCCTGGATGTCACCACAGGAGCCTCTCACAGCCCTGTACTTGTCATTATTTGAAGGGGTTTTATTTAAAGAATATTTATGCTCTCAGACTTCTCAGCTTCTTGCTTCTCTGTTGCATTACCTCTGAAAGAGTTAACACCAGAATGAGCTACAAACCCAGGAGACTGATGAGAAAAAGGGTCCTGAAGGCTGGGAAGGGCTATGGTCCCCTATGAGGGGCTGGGCAGGGTATGGGCACTGCCAGCTGGATCAGCCATGTGGGATTCCAGTTTCAGAGCCTGAAGAGTAACTGCTGGCTCATCACCCCCACCCTGCTGTTGTTCTTTCGATGGGGTCGGGGCCGCTGAAGTGGGTTCAGCAGTGAGCGGGCTGAGCAAGTGCCATGGGAGGGCAGCATTGCTCAGACACACAGCCCGGTGCCTTTCAGCCTTGTCCTGCAGACATTCATGGAAGGGCTTCTCCTCTGAGACCCCCTGCACACTCCTGGTCTCATGGGACCTGCTGCCCTGGCCATCAGCCCGGGACACTGCAGGAGAGCCAGGCTCTTGGGGGAACCGCTGAGCCCTTGGTGAGCCTCAGCTGCTCACACGTCCCTCGGCAAACTCTGCTGTTCTTGAGCTAGTTTGGTGAGTTTTTTTCCTTTTGTCTCCGAGTGTCTTCAAAAGATAATTACATGGAGCTGGGGCCATTTGCTCAAGTTACTTTTAATTCCCATGGTGGTTGTAATGAAGTGTGTACTGCACATCCATTTTACTAAAGTAGTGTATAAGGACACACTTGACTTGCTTTTCCTCTGCAGTTGAGAAAGGACAGATCGTTAAGAAAACAGGACCGCTACATTATTGGAACCTTCAAACAGATCCCCCTGCCTGCCTCCTTTGGAAGAGATGCAGACTGAGCCTGAGACATATGGAGGCTTTGGTAAAGGGCTTTAAAATGCTTCCTCACCCCCAGGTTGGTACTGTTCCCAGCATCATTGCCGGTTTCATCTCAAAGCAGATAGGCTTGCTAGTGAATGGGAGAAGTTAGAGGAAACAAGAGAGAAACACCCTGCACCAGTGAACAAAACTATTTCTGAAGATTTCCGCTTTGTAGGAATGTTGGCAGGTGCTCTTCCCGCATGGTTCAGATGGGGGTTGGAGATTTGTGTGTTTAGGTGCTGGCTGGTCTGCCTCATGCTGAGTGCCCAAGGTGCTGTCAGAGGATAGATATTTCCACATTCAAATCCTCCCTTCCCAGTTCTTGACTTCACAGAAGCTGCAGCACGTACAAAGATGCATGTTCATTTATTATTTCCTGAAATATTTTCTCCTTGGGGCTGCTCTGCATAGAAGTGCTATCCTGTAGTCTCTCACACAGGAACTGATGACAGGGATTTAAATCAAGCCCTTCCTGTATGTCAAAAGAGTACATAACTTCCCAGCCAGAGTGCATTTTGAAGCTGAGATTATATTGGAGCTTTCAAGCTAGATATATTTTATAAAAAGTAATTGCACATTCTTGTGTTTAAGATATGCACTCAAGTTTCCGTCTTTGAACTGAGAAATGCTTATTTCCCAAAGTGGAACAGTGTCAATAGGAAATATTCATACTTCAAATATTGCTTCAGGCCTGGGGTGCTGTCCTGGGAGACTGAAAATAGGGTGTTCTGTTCTAAGTGATTTCTCTAAACATTGAAATTTGTCAATAAAAGTCAGAGGTGAAAAAAGGGAAAGTTGACATCAGAAGCTTTGAAACAATTTAGACTTGCATTTTCTCTTAAAAAAAATAGAAGCTGAACAAATAATTATCTTCAATCCAAACAAAATACAAGGGTTTTATCTTTGTCACAGAAAACACAAAAATATTTTTTGGCTGGATCAGTTTTATTTTCTTCTTTTATTTTAGTGAATAATATTCTTAAATGTGCTTGTAGGGGTCTATGCAGAGATTCATTGAGCAGAAATCTGTTCATACTTTTATAGTGCTTTGATCACTGGACTTGGCATTGTCTGTCAAAGCATTGATTAACATGACAAGATTGTGATGAATTTTTGTCCATACTGAATAACCAACCATCCTTTTCTACTACGAAAGGGGCTCATATTGTTTTTTTCATATCTACAGATGGATACAGACACCAGGAAAGGATAGAGTAAATTTCCTAATACTTGTTAATAATTTGCCTTAGTATTATCCTGCTATTCTTCATGTCTTCCACCAAGTTTCCTAATGTCAGGACATACTGGAATGAAAGTATTAGTTTAGAGGTAACTGGGACTGAAGCTCTTGCTTCTAGGATCAGGGACATCACTTTAACATTATGGTGTGCCACCATTGATAAGGTTTTTTCCGCTTTTTTCAATTCAAGGTAACTTTGGGGTCCACCTGTGTAAAGGACCAATGTAAACCCTGGATGATCACTGAAAATGAACCCATTTGCTATTTATTCTTTTACAGCTGAGTATTGGTAGCTACTTCAGAGTTGTGAAAAGAGAAGATATCCTTAGCTGTCTGTGCAGAGCATTTTCAGATTAAGAAGTCAGCAAGCACTGGTAGGATATTTATAATCATGCAGAGCTCTGCTACATTTTCATACTAAGGAAAATATATTCTCCTGTAGGAATTACTGTGTTCAGTCCTTTGCCCTATGTTAAGAAGACAGTACCTCAGATTTTAGGGGCCCTTCATCTGTTAAAGAATACTAGCTAAATCTACCACTGAGTTAAAAAAATGTCATTATTGTATTAAAGCATTGGTGTGTTTCACAAAAAAACCCCAAACAACACCTTTTGAACTTTAGATTATAATGAAGAAATCATATAGAAAGGAAAAAACCAGCTAATTTTGCAGTGAGAGTAAAACATATTCTTTAACTCCCCAAGTCAGGTTTTCCTGTGGTGAGGCCTCAGGAGGAATAGTGAGATGCAGAAAATGATTCCTGTGATTTTTAGGCTTGTGGTTTGCTGCTTTGCAGTGTGACACATAAATTAGTTGACAAAAATGTTTATTTTCTCTTAGGTGTTGCTAATGAAGCATCCATACTTCTTTGAGAACTTAAAATGAACTCCAGTGCTGCATTGTTATGTTCAGGAATCAGTGCTGATTTCTTCTCTGCATTCCTCTATGGCAGCCTTAAGTACCTTTATTTTGCCATGTCGCAAGATTGGTATCAGCCTATTTTCTTTCCTTTCTCACTCTATCTCAACTTGAATTGAGCTTTTGGTGGGCTCACCCCATGCTTCCCTTAGTATCACATTTAAGGCGTCCAGATGGGGTGACAGAATGGAATAAGACACCAGCCCTCCATCTGTTAAAAAAAAAAAAAAAGAAGAAAGAAAAAAAAAAGAAGAAATTAAATACAAGGTTTTATTGTTCTTTAAGTAAGAACAGATACAGTCTGTATGTCAAGGCCAAACTATATGCTATTAAATCTATCCTTTGAAGTCTTCCATTGGGCTGACCAAGGACAGATGGTAAACCGTTATCAGTTGATACGGGATTAGGTCAAGTCGAAGTTCAGGACTGAGGGTAACAGTGAGAGTCTCAGTTCAGTTGTGAAGTGTATTAATTTATTTAATGAATACCACATAGTCAGCGTCTTTGCTACTGTTCTGCTAGTTTAAAAATTGGGAGATTTATTTACCGAAGGATCTCCACATGCTCTAGAAGTTTAATATGGCAAATATAACTGTTGTAACTTAGATGAATAGCAATAAAATCTTTATTCTTTTGGAGGAGAAAATAGTTCAGATTTAAGATGTACCAGCCTAAAATATACTGCAATATTTTTTTTATTTTTTTATTTTAATTTTTACCTGGCTCATATATTTGCATCATTTGCCTTTGTGTTTCTATTTTCTTTGCATGTGTACCAACCCCAAAATATTCTCATTGGAGAAACTGATCACTAGTATCAGATGTAGGGAAGCCTGTAGCAGCATTTCATTACTTACACTTTGTTTTCACACCCAAATAATGAATGAAGACTATTGACCGTGAAGCTGAAATGCTGCATACATGTCAGGCTGTCTATTCTTCAAATTTGGCAGAGGAAATGAACTTGCCTTAAAAACAATCTAACCAAACATGTTTAGAAACAGCTTTTTCAGAACTGGCTGATGTTTGCCATATGACACATGCAATGGACATTAGGCATAATTTGGAAGCAAACAAAGTAGTTAAGTGTATGCCAGTGAACAAGCTGAGACAAAATGAACTTTCAAGATCTGGTCATAATCTTACACAATTATTCTGTGTCAGCCTCATGGTTTAATAATGTGCATGGTTTATATAAGTTAAGGACTGATGGGATGAGCCTTTGCTAGCAAAGCTAGAGCTAAAAATGCTTAAAATAACTTCCTAATGAACAGCTTTTCTTTATAACTATTTTTTTTTTCTTCCCCATAACTCCTTTAGAAATTCACTGAAAGGGAAACTTCTCTGTAAGGTGTGTTCAGGCTCAAAAGAGGAGCAACAGTCATGAGCCTTGATAGTGCAAAGTTCTCTACAGTCACAGGACGAAAGGCTGCTATTGCAGGATTGGAATTATTTTTTCAGGTATATAAATCATGAAATTAAAATAATCTAAGGTTTTCCTAATACTGCTCAGTATATTTTGGGTACACATTGACTTCTCCATATGACATTTGTTCTTTTATGTACTTATTACATATGTTAATGTGTCATGTGAATAAGTAAATATTGCCAGAAAAACAGGACTTTTGAAGTTGTGACACTTTGTGCTTCATCACTTGACATTCAACAGCTCTTCTTAATTTTTACAGTTGGGATGATGTGTAGCTGACTGTAGCGTTATTCCGTGTTAGTAACACATCCAAACTAAAAAAAGAGACAACCCTAGAACTGTTTCTGGTTCACTCTCAGCTCAAAGAGGTTTCTGTCTGAAGGCTCAGGACTCAATTCCCATTTAAACAAAATTTTAAGCTTGGCTGGAGGTGCTGGGAAAATCACTTCGTGCCATATTTCCTGTTCCCCAGACTTGGCCTGGCTGAAACTGCTGTTGTAACAAGGCTTCAGGCTTCCTTCAGTCTGTCACAAGGAATGCTGTAGATCCCTGAGTACTGCTGAACTTCAGGGCTGAAATGTGGCACTGTCTGGTCTGCAGAATCCTTTGCTACGCTCCTTTCTTCCCTTGCAGCCTGCTTTTCCGTGCCAAGCTAGCAACCCCTGGGCAGTGATGGGCAAGTTCTGGCAGCAGCAGATGGACAAGGCACAGCGCAGCCCTACAGGCCTCCTTCGTTAGACATCCACTATGAATGTTCTGCACTCTAGTAGTACATACATCTTTTAGCTTCAAACTTCAGCTACAAGACTGGTAAATCTGGAAAAATCATCTGTGCAGAATGGACTTTTCCTTACCTACTCTCCCAGGTAGCTGTATCTAATTCAGGGAACGGGGATGGAGTGAGTGCAGAAAATGGCCATTAGAAGCTTGTTGAGCATTTCCGTGAGCCTTTTCTCACCTCAGTGTAAGCTTCACACAATTACCATAGACTACAAAAGTGGAAAATTATAACACCAGGTGGAAAGAGTCTAGGTTCTACTTTCCAGAGATGTTTTAAAGTCACTCAGGAGAAGCAAGACATTTTCATTTCAGAATGTTGGTCTTTTCCACTTTCTTTTTGATTAGCTATTTATAGTGCTTACCGTAACTAAGACCCATGTCTGTACTCGCTACTTGAACAGGAAAAAGCTTTCATTATACTTGGCAACATAAAGGAATGTAAATAATCAAACCCAAGCTTCATTTGCTCAGTATATTTTGGTATCTAAATGTGTTCAAAATATGATAGTCTATACATGGTTTGAGGTGCTATACACCAGGTTCCTGCTGTAATTTCATTTTCCCTTCTTCCCTATGCTTTCCTCTCTGATCATTCTTTTGAGAAAGGATTCACACCTTCCTTGGTTTCAAAATTCCCTGGCTCTACTGCAGCTTCATTTATTTGAGTCCAGTTAACCCCCTGAGGCTTTGGTTAGTATTAGTTTTTTTGAGGTAAAAATAAATAAAAATAAATAGTGAGCAGATTGGACCTCTGTAAACACTTGGCCTCCCACATCTAGTGTTAATGTAGGATCTACCAGGTCCTACGCTCCTGAAGCTGGAAAGTTCTTGGGAGATCTTTCCCTTCACTTCTGAACCCAAGCTGACCAGCTCCCAGATCTGCATATTCAGGCATGTTTCCTATATCCACTCTGCCTACGACATTTCTCTTGGACATTAATGTGTCTTTTCAAGGGACCTGGACAATTCCTACTGCCTGATATGCTTCATGTGATGCAGAGGAAGTTATTGTCCCTGTAGGGAGAGAGGTGTGCAGGTCAGAAATAACACCCTAACAATTGTGAGTGTCTTTGGGACATGTACCCATACTCACTTGTACTCAAACATGGATTGCTCCTTGTGTGTTTGCTCTGGGATGGGGTTTGTGCAAACAACAGTGTCAAGATATTAAAACTGATTAGAGTTCATGGGTGCAAATTGAAAATTAGGCTCATTTTTGTAATTTTTCTCCATAAATAGCAGCAGCAATTGCATTATTTTGTAAAAGGCTAGGATATAATAAGTATAAATGGTGCAGTCTGAAATATAAAAAAATCTGTTCTACAATATCCAGGGGCCATGGCTGTCAAGGGCCAACACAGCCATCAAGAAAGTCTAAAATTAAAACAGACAAGTTGCCAATGCATAAAACTGCCATCATCATGTTCACTTCCCAGTTTGTTTCAATGACCATCCCATCTGTGAAACATATTTCTGTGGGACAGTTAAGGGTTGCAAGCATAAACCAACCCATTTCATTGAATGCTACAACCCAGGTGTCGCTCTTGTTTGAAAAATGCCTGGGTGGCCCCACTGCCAAGGATATAACCACAGATAATACAATCCAGAAATCCCTTTCCAAAGCAGTGAGTAATTGAAATTTATGTACTTGCATAACGCATTTATTGTTGTGAGAGCAATCCAAGGTTGTCAGCTCCAGCCATAGGGGTTGCTCCCCGGTCCAAGAGGCCTGTGACTTTATTGCTTGAATGGGAGAGCTGAGGCTGGTGACTGGCACTGCTCTTTAGAGGCTGGAATGTATGGTTAGGGACATGCTGGATGAGAGGTAAGGGCACAAACTGCTCTCCTTGGCAGGAAGAAAAATACCTCAGCAGGAGTGATTTAAGTGGGTAGGGGTTTGAATCCAAGGCCTGAGGCCAATCTAATAGGCTCTGTTTTCTCAAATGGAAAGGCTCTGATTTGCCTCATTCCTAGAAATGTGGTAGCACCCACAGATTCTTTTTTCTTTCAAATCCAAACTTAAAGGCTTTCAAGGTCAGTTCTGATTTTGCACATTATTGTAACTGAGATTTGGGAAGCAATCTGGGAAGCAAGTTTGGGATAACCAGAAGAATGTTATGCTGGAAAAATTCCTTACATCTGGGAGATCTGTTTTCCCTCTTGCTGTTGTCATGGATTGAGCTGGGTTCATGACTACCCTTCTGGAGAGGCATATCTGGTAGCAAAATAGAGTTTTTCTGTGAAGGGTCTGTGAAGCTCTTAAGTGACCGATGCTATAGAAATACTAAGTATTACTGTGACTAATCAAATGATTTGACACAAAGATTTGTTTTAACAAGCCTGTGCTCCTGTGTGAGGCATCCAAGCAGGGACACAATCTCAGAGCCTGGACTCTGGGGCTGACTTTATTTTCTGTCTTCCAAAGCAGTCACCTTTTCTTCCATTTTACCATCTGTCATGCTAGTTTTTCCTTTCTTCAAGAGAGATGAAGGAGTTTGGTTTAGAATAAGATGCTCCTAATGTTGCATAGATTGGACAAAAGGTACAACATACTATCACCAACTTGCTTACTTCAGTGGTAAAATCTGAGAGTAACACTTGAGTTTTGTAAATATTGAGACATCTGACATGTATCCACAAAGTTGCTGGTGTCTTTTCATTTTTGAAAACAAAATGATACAGCATAGATTTATTAGGGAAGAATGGGATGAGACTTTGGTTTTCATGTTTAGACAAAAATTAGATTTTTTATTTCCTTCTGAGTGGGAGAAAATCACTGACTGCTATTGCTTATGGTGACAAACTTCTCATACATTGACATTAATACCTAGAGGTTTTGAAATGTGAATTGGGGCTTTTCTTAGTCCCAAAAGCTCAGTGTGCTCTATAGATGGTGGAGAAATTAAATTTCATGGCAGCCTTTTTTAATCAAGGAAAATGGGTCAGTCAACCTGCTCGTGACAATGGGGGGACCATAAGTACCACAAATTTCTTGTTAACTGACTTAATTTTTTTTTTTTCCTGAACAAACAACTGTCCTACTGAATCCTGGCCCTGAATCCTGGGTCAAACAGATCTATAGTGTGAGGATTGCAATAAACCTCATAACAACATCTTCTTGTCTTCCTTCTCTGGTGGTGAGAGACACTGACCGAGCTGAATATATGACTTCCTATGTCCTTTTAACCACAGGCCTGACCTTCTTCATAAAAGTTTCTGTGTTATGATAGTCTTGCCAGGATTTACTGGTTGTGCTTATTATTAATTAAGAGGTACTAAGTTTAAAAAGTCATTAGAAATCAAATCACAAAGGATAAGTTAAAAACCTTTCTGTGAACTTTGACATGCCCCTGTATTACATCTAAACCCACACCAACAAAAAGAGACATTAATAAAATCATTATATATTTGAAGAGCAACACCTAGCCCATGTAAAGTTTATGGCTACAAATGAATACGTGTCAGGGAGCACCATCAAGTCCATTAGGCCAAAGATTTCACTGTTGCTATTCATTTAGAGGGGATGGTACTTGTATGTTGCCATGATGGACAGTAACATAAAAAATTTAAAAGAGGGATAAAATACCCTTTCTCCTATTATGCCTTGTAAAACATATACACTTCTAGGGAAGGATGAATAAAAATAAAAGTTGCTGACATGATTAACTCATTCATAATTTTTTTTTTCTTTTAATCACTGGAAACCTATTCCAGTGCATGTAAAGTCTTAATGAGACCTAGCAACATTATGAGTGCTGGGAGCAATCGCCCTTCAGCCTCATGCCTGCAAACGCTCTCAAGGCATGCATATATCTCATTATGGCCGAACGCCCTGTCATGTGTTATTCCTTACTTAGTGACAATTTGTCATTGTCACCCTTGACATGTCACTCTGCTGCAGAAGGATTTGACTTCAGCGTAAAATGTGACAATCAGATGAGAGGATTTTGTAATCTAAACTGAAATATGGGGCTGTGAGAGACTAATTTTATTCAAAAACAGTCCTAATATAACATAAATGGGAAGAAATGTTTGCATTTAAGGATTTTTGTTAAGGTTTCCTTCCTTTGCCTTTTCCCAGCCCCTGCTCTCCCACTTCAATTATTCCTTAGAATAATGCTTTTATTTTTGAAGGATGGAGCCTTATGCTTTAATACCATGCATTTTCAATTAAGTGCACTAAGATCTGTGGATATAACTATTACTTATAGTTTAAGTAATGGTTACATGTAAAAATTAGGGAAACATATTGTGCTTTAGATAAATTACATTCAGATTACTTCTTATTATAAATGGGGTAGAAAATGGATTTTTAGCTCTGGCTGGCCAAAGAGCCAGCATTTGTATCTACTTCATTTGTTTAAATATATTTCAAGCCAGATTGAAATCCATATTGCCTGACATTAATTGAGTACTGAAGCATCAGTGTACTCTAGTTTCATAAACCACTGATGAGTGAGTTTCTACAGGCTTGATTTAAAAATATTCTGTCCCTTTTATATGAAAATTATATTCCATTTATAGTGTAATTCTTAAAGCTCAACATTAAGCGGTATAAATCTTAATAAGATGAATGTAAATATGACATTTGTGCTGTTGAGTTGACATCTTGTTTGCTAAGAAAATTGTATTCTGTACTCAGTATTTATTAACATCTTCTTCTGTATTATATTGTAGGCAAACTGGTTTTCTTTTGAAAAGCAGAATGGAGATAAGAGCGGGGTGGGCTATGAGATGGGCTGTTCCTGAAGGTCACTTACCAGGTTTTGCTTAGGCACCTCATCCTGGATATTCCATTCCTGGGCATCTTTTGACAATCAATCCTATCAGGTTGCCCAGTAATTTATTGGCTTTGTGGCAATGACAAATAGTCAGTCATTCCAGTAGTAGCCTATAGGAAGTAAGGTTTGAGTTCATGTTTCCAGAGTTGAAAGTCTAGGGCAATTTAACCCATTTTTCACACTTGTAATTTTCAGAGAAGCAGACATTATTTGAACAAGATTCTGGATTCTGAATTTCACAAAGAAGGTGCAAGGCTATGATTTTTTCTTCAAGTTTCATCAAATTTTTCTGCATAAGATGAATGAATGAATAAGTTACTAACTAACTAACTGAAGACGCCCTCATCAAGCAGCTTTTACTGGCTGAACCAAGTGTCCTATGGCCTTCATCAAGCTGCGCTCTCTCTGAGGTAGGGAATGACTGCTTTTAAGTGAATGCATTATGAAGTGCCATCTGCAATGTGCTGTCCTCCTGGATATTTTTATCAGGACTAACATAGCTGTCAGGATGTCATGGAATGAATGTCGGATAATTTGTACACTTGATTTTTTGGGTTTTTTTTCATAGAGCTCTTCTATACTACTATTATAATGATAAAGACAGCTTTCTGCCTGAAGTGCATTTGCTGCTTTCTCAATGCGCTTAACTGAAGTTTTTTTCTTTAAAATCTTTAACATTACAAATTTTGTTTAATAATACAAACATTTTGAAGGAACACAGTATGCATTGAATAATCAAGGCTTCTGTGAGGAGTGTGGTGAGTGTAGATTTTTGATTTAAGTTCTATCAATTATCTCCTTCGTTTATTGCCTTCAGAACCAGGAGCAACTTGTCCTTATTTGTTAACCATGTAAGAACATGGTAGATCTTTAGTTCACATTCCAGGAAGATCTGTATTTTTTATTTGAGTACTCTTTTTTTTTATTTATTTAATTATTTATTTTTATTATTATTTACCATCAGCAAGACATGGGAAATCTTGGCTACCTCACAGAAAAGTTAATGGAAATGCACTGAGGTGGCTGCAGGCATTCAGATAAGAGGTGGGTGAGCATGAAAGCACCAGGTGAATCTCTAAACCATGACCACCAACTTTTGCTTTTTTTTTGTAGCCTCTTTTATTCATGATGAGCTGTGTACACTGGTCCTCTCACATGGACTAGCTTGACAATTATTCTGTATTTTGTTGTGCTAAGTCATCTCTTTATGCTAGGTAAAACTGTTTTCTTCTCATGGTTTTCCCCCTGTTGATTCATCAATTTATTTGGCTTAGTGGGACCTCCTTCTTTTGATGATGTTGATATATTGCCACCAAAACGTTCGGTGAAATTACCTTGGTGTAATTTCAGTTTTCTGTGTCACAAGGCATATTTTCAGGACAATCTGAGCCAATGTATTAGATCAAGGAATGGAGTTTAACTCTCCTGTACTCTGACTCCTAGTCCAGCCCAGAACTGCACATATGTTGCTTAGTTTGGGATGGGTTTGGCTCAGGTGTTTGGGTTTTTGAGTTAGTCAATTTAGCTCACTCAAATACAGAAACTAGGCCAGAATTAAAACAACAACAACAACATCAAAAAAGTAGGTATTTCCCTGCTGAGTTGGTGCTCCTCTGGATTCAGTCCAGGGTCCACCTCTTTGTTATATTGGGGCTCCAGAGATGGATGCAGTACTGCAGATGGGGCTTCAAAAGAGGAGTAGACGGGGAGAATCACCTGCCTCAACCTGCTGGTCACGCTTACACTGCTGCAGCCCAGGATTCAATTAGCTTTCTGAGCTCCAAGCCCACATTGCTGGGTCATGTCCAGCCTCACTCATCAGCACCCTCAAGTCCTTCTCCTCAGGCCTGCTCTCAATTCAATGCTGCCCTGTATTTGTGCTTGGGATTGTCCTGACCCAGGTTCAAGACCTTGCACTTGGTCTTGTTGAACTTCATGAGGTTTGCACAGCTCTCAAGCCTGTCCAGGTCCCTCTGGATGGAGTCTTTTCTCTCCACTGTAGCAATGGCACCACACAGCTCGGTGTCATTGGCAAACTTAATAAAGGTGCATTTGATCCCACTGACCATGTCATCAACAAAGATGTTAAACAGCCTATCAACAACCCTGCTGGGTTCATAAATTAAATCAGCAAGCTGTAAACATAGAAAAATGTTAGATGACTTGCAGTAGAAGGAGTGGCAAAAGAGAAAAAGAAAGAGGGCAGTGCTTGTGGTGGTTTTGGGCTGTTGTTCGGTTGGGCTTACTTTAAGCAGCACGCAAACACCATGGTTAGGAACCAGAAGAAAAGTATTAAGAACCAGAACAATGTATTCTTATGATCTTGGAGATGTTGATAATCTTTATTCCCTTTCTCATTAGGAGACATTTTCCAGCCATCAGTGATGAGTAACATTCCATTCTGTATGGTCAGCTTAGGTCTTTCCTTTTCTACAACGAAGTGTACCTCTCTGTGCTCAGCTGGACCTTATTTATGGAGAAGGACCTCAAATTAGCCTTACCATTTGTTATAGTTTTGGGATGATGAATCAGAAGCTGAAAGCTATTGGCTGGAGGGAATTACTTAGTGGAATGAATTTCAGACTTAATCTATCGATAGAAATGTACCAAATGACAGCCCAGAACTAATGAAATTTCTGTTCCCTCTTACCCCTTCCAATATCTGCTTCCCTTAGCATACCCCTTTAAATTCATACTTTAGTAGCAAGAACTAAATTTAGATATCTAGGGAAATCAAAGTCTTTGATCCTCATGTTCTTCTAGTAGATGGTGTTTTTGACATTGGGCTCACACAACAAAACCTGTTGCTCTGTACTGGTATCTCCAGAGATTTAATACAGTGCCAAGGCCACTATGCCTGTCTCTCTCTTGGCAGAGTACTTGATAGTTGTTTTCCTTTTGCTAAAAGCTTTTTCCCTGGAAAAAAATTGCATTCTCACAGAATGATTTTCACAGATTTTTTAGGTTCTGTTTGTTTGGTTTTTTATTTAAACTTTTAATTTTTAAAATTTTACTTTGATTTTTTGAAAGCTTGGGAGAAGATTTTCAGCAGCAGGTAGAGAGAAATCTCAGGTGCTGCTGAATGATTGGGTTGTGGGTGAAGAATAGACACACTGTTTGCTTTCATGTCTTTGTTTGTGTCTTAGTGTTTTTTTTTCCCTCCCATAACTTTTCAAACATTGCTCTGTTCTGTTTTTTACAGGTAACCAGATTTTTCATCCCATTGATATGTTTTCCAATTGAAACAGAGAATCAGTCAGCAAGGAAGGCATCCTAGAACCTTTCTAGGACCATGCTAGGAGCCTAAATCTCAAAAATTCAGGTAAGCAACAAGGGAAAGCTTTTAATTTCCTGTACTAGACATGTGCAAATATATATCTGTTGCTGAGCCATTTACTTTGAGTCTGTGCAGACTTTATGTATTTTATCTCTACTTGCTTCAGTAAATTCAGAGGATCAGCAGCTAAATACAATTCTTTGTGGCTATGTCATCAGACCTTTTTGAAACTGAAGTTAGAGCAAGTGTACTAGAAAGCTCGGAAATACATTTTTTGAGCTTGTAAAAATAATAACAGGTTGCATAAGTTTCCTTACTTAAAACCTACTTTTACCTCGGGAAGCTGACTTTTTAACATAGTTGTCTGTGTATTTTTGTGGTTAAATAGTTGGTCTTTTGTAAGATTTGGCTTTTCACAGGTGTTTCAGAAAGCAGAATTCACTTTCCTTAGAAAGGAATCATTTCAGGTCTGTCTTTTCACACTGCTGCTGAAATTAGTGAATTTATCATCTTCTTTTTAAAATCCACCCTGACAATCTCTCAGAAAGAGCTGTTACACAATTCCTGCAGTGGCAAACTTCATAGGAACTTGTGGTTACTCCTTAAACCTGCAGCTACTTCGAGCTCTGAGATACAATCTAGGTTAATTTCAGTGTCGTAATGTCTTGAAACTGATACTCATGGATATAGAAATTGGTTCTCCTGGTCACAACAGAGCACAAAGTCAGCTATTAGTGTCATATGCAAGCTGGTCTTTGCATGTGGACAGAATTGCATTAGGGGAAAATTAAATGCTATCAGTTTAGACCAGGGGCTTTGCAAAGCAGATAGCCTTTAGAGCTATTGTGGGTTTTAAACGTCAGGTTAATTGAGAACTGCTGTATATTTAATAGGGGGGCCTTTGGGATATGACTACAAGGAGTCTTTGTTGTTCAGCAGTACATTAGGCAGAAACTGCACTTCTGAAATGGTCATAAAAATCCCAGGAGGCATAACCATTAATGGGACACTAAGCTCCAATTAAGGGCATGGCCCAAAAGACCAAGGTGAAAAACACGGTCCTTAGCATCTGTCTCAGAGGATCTCTGATCCAGCTGCTTGATTTCAGCTGCAGAAACATAATTGCAAAGAACAAAATATTTACTCTGAAAAAAAACCCCATACTTCTTGTTGTCTGGAATGTAAATAGGAAGAAAAAGAGAAAAACCAAAGGGTCTTTCAAATTAAATTCTCCAAATTCCCTAAAACAAAAATAGAATTGCATATCACAGCTAGCAGTTCTGATCCCTTTTATCTTCATAGGATTTCATAACAGTTGCAGTCTAGCCCTCCAAACTTCTTTTTACACATTTTTAATATTAATTTGAGCACCTCCACAAGTTTATATTCAGAAACTGCAAAGGACTTTCCTCTGTGATCCTGTTTAAGTTTTGTTTCTGTTTTGGGGTTTTTTATTTTGTTTGTATGTTTGTTTTTAATTCTCTGAGTTCCATGAGACACAGCTACCCAGTTTAGTCAGTGTGCTGGTAAATTTATAAATGGATTACTGGGTCTTATGGCCTTCTTCTGGTCAAAGACTTGTAATTCTGCCTCAGATAGACAAGGATTTTTTGGAATGTAAAAAATATACATTTTCAGAAAATACTGAGTCCTTAGAGTCCAGCTGAAAATGACTGTCATCTTCGGGAAATTTTAACCTTGCTTACCTCAATTATCTTGGCAATTACATTAGTAAGTAAATAATTTGTGTCTCCATGTGAATATCTTCCACTATTTTATTCTGCTTATAATACAAACTTTTCACTGAAGTTGCCCAGAGATAACCTAGTCATTCTCCATCTAGACAGACCATCTGAGTAGGATGTTAATTAATATGACATTATGGAATTCAGTTTAGTGAAGTACCACAAAAAAGGAAATTAATTTCAATCATTGACAAACTTGTCAGTTTAGTTGTATTGATTTTTTGATACCTCTACAGCACATGGCAAAGTTCATACATTGTAAAATACATCATTATTATTGGCTTACTCTGCTGGATATAAGTGGACTGTTATATATATTTTTTTCAATAAATTGACACTCTTGAAGTGTATAAAAATGCAAAATTATGTAAGGGCTTTTTTTACTATTTTAAATATAATATCAATTTACTATCTTTAATGGTCAACTGTCAGTCAGAGAGTTATTTACCAGTGCATAAAAGATATTTGGTCTCAAAGCAACCTGAAAACAACAGTTTCCTGCATTGACAAAGTTTAGCAGAAAAATAATCTAATGAATCTGGTCATTCGTAGCTGTTGGCTGTGAGCTTCCTGGAGGGAGCTGGTATTCTTCAGAGGCTGTGGATCCTCCTGAGGTTGGAGTAACTGTGGGCCCCTGGGATGGAAGATGTTGCTAAACCAGAGAGTGTGGATCCCTCTCCAGTTGTCTCTCCCAGGGCTGTGGTGTCAAAGCCCTCTCTAAAAGAGCAAAGGTCAATTGCAGAATGCTCATCCTCCACTGTGTTTTAGAAGTCAGTGTCCAACATTCTATTTTGCTTTTGTCAGACTTCTTTCATGGAAAATCAAGAAAGCAATTGTTGTTCTGCTGACTCCAGCTCTAGCAAAAATACACTGAAGGTGTTCTGATTAAGTTTATTATTTTGGTCTGTCTCTTCAGAGCGTATAGAACTGCACAAAACCTATATTTGGCTTGTGCCTGTAAGTTTCCTGGTTTTTAAATGTAATACTCTCATATTCCCACCTGAGGTCATTAGCCACAAGGTAGGTTAAAAAAGAGTTTGAAGGATGGATGTAGCTGCATGCAAACCCAGGCAGTCTGCACTCATATTTATGCTGATGCTTCTGAAATTTATTGTGTTACTCTGTTAAAACTCAGGTGTACAGAATGTAGTGCTTGTCTAAATTTTCAAATAGAATTTTTATACTGAGGAGTGCCTGTAATAGAGGAGGGAAAGCATGTATTTCTGATGGAATGCAATTGCTTTGCATTTCAGCCTATGAGACAGATAGTAATATCTGAGGTTTGGTTTTGTTTTGGTGGGTGATTTTTTTTATTCCTTAGTGTCCCTAAACATTGTTTCAAAGTTAGTAAAAGATACATGAACTCCTGAGACAACAATAATATGTGGGGAAAGAAGGGGAAATAATTAAAAAAGCTAAATCTTAAACACTTGAGGCTGAAAAAATTTTTTCCAGCATTAAAAGCATAGTAATGGAACCAATCTTCCCTATAGGAGAATGCATTTTTTGTCAAGAACTATTTGGTGAATTTTAATCCTTCAGGCAATTGCAATCTTTTTCCACACAACACAATGATTTAAAAAAAAATCAAAATACACATTTCTGTGGATTTCAATTTCAGAACCTTCTTATTTGGTCAAAATTTAAATTTGTCGACATTTGCCACAGAAATAGTTTTTCCATTCATAAACTAGATATTTTTAGCTAAAAATATCAGCAAAGAAATAAACTGTGACAGAATCCCTAAATTAAAATCTGCTTATCTGAGCTGAAATTATTTAGACTGGTTTTCACTGTAGTAAGTCTGAAGCGTGATAGTGGAGTTCCCTTTTCGCCCCAAGCATTTACTGACTTCAAGGCTGGAATTTCCAAGCTGCTCTGCATAACCACTCAATGTTCAGTCCATCAGTTTAGGATGGGGTTGAACATTTAGTTGCTCATTTAAGTCCTATTTTAACAACTCCTTCAATAAAGAGAGAAACTGAGGCAGAAATGAGCAGTGATTCGTTCCATCTTCTTGCACATAACAAAAGTAACATATTACCCATTTTCAGTCTTGGGCTTAAGGTGTTTTTCCAAGATAATGTGCAATGCTATATTTTGTCCTTAATGAGGAAGAATATTTGCCGTCTCATTCCTTAGTAGGGGTGTTCAGACTTAGCTGTGACAGGAGTAGCAGCCCTTTCTTTAGTTGGCACAGTTAAATTTGACAGGGATCATGAATCAGAGCCCTGGGGTGACGTAATTTTCCAAGAGGGAAGGACTGCTGGGTGAACACTTCTTTGCTACTGTGTGAATCACTGCTTTTGTGTTAATACAATTAGGTGCCTACAATTAGCCAGTCTAAGGACATAATCAATCTATTGACCCAGATAGCAGATTGGGCTGCAGGTCGTCTGATGTTACTTCATTACAAGGCTCTAATTACCTCCCTAAGTTTTCCCTTCAGGACAATACAGGTAGAGATACCTGCCAGGAATGTTGTGAGGAGCTTGCAAGGAGCCTCGAAGTCTTTGAGTGCCTGACTCCCTGTGAAACAGCTGCTGAGCACATGCACGTCTCTGGGACTCTCAGCATTAGTATTAGTCACCAGCTAAGGATGGAAAACGAGAATTGGTTCAGCCTGGTCCCATGGGTGCCTTATATCAGACCTTCAGTATGATGCAGCTTTCTGGAGAGGCTAGAAGACTTAGGCTTTTTTCCTTTTCTTCATGAAGTGGAGAGGAGAGGGAGAGGGAGAGGGAGGCAGTTGATTTCTCTTCTGTGGTTGCTGATGTGAGACCAGGGCAGAGTTTGGCCTGGCGGATTTTGACACTACTTTTAAAATCTGCCCAGCAGTTTCATTAACTCGTTCTGAGGCCACTGTGCTGCAGTGGATTCAAGCCTGAGAAGGCACCCTGGCAAGCTTTCCAGCTGAAGTCCTCACTACTGCATCAGGGACTCATGCAGAGCCAGGGTGAAGTTTGTTGTCAGGATCAGGGCCGAGACATTATTGAAAAGAACAGGAAAAAAGTGTGTGTGTAAAGGTACAATCAGCTGTTCATGACTGAGATGTGTTTCATGATATGAAGCTGTGCTCAGTACTAAGGCATATTTAAAGTGAATGCCAGGTACTGCATTTGGCCTTCCAGCTATTAAACATCACCAAAAACCAGTCAGCAGAGCAATGTCATCTAGATCACTTTGACACAATTGCAATCCACAATTAACAGGCAATGAAGGACTTCCTAAGAGCACATGTTTGACACCCTGCTTTGTCATGGGTTTTTGTACTGTTGTAGGGATTTAAAAAAA